GTTGGAGGTTTTGGAGGTCCTGAGGAGACCAGCTGTTGGAGGTTTTGAAGGACCTGAGTAGGCCAGTTGTTGGTGGTTTTGGAGGTCCCGAGGAGACCAGTTGTTGGAGATTTTGGAGGTCCTGAGGAGGCCAATTGTTGGAGGATTTGTCCTATTCTGGTCTGAATGAGGACTCTAGCTGTTCAACAGTTCTGGGTTGTTTCAGCTCTTTGGGAGCAGATGTTCTAAAACCTGTAGATATTTTTCTGCCTTGATGGAGTCTTTCCAGATGTGTAAGCTGCCCATGCCAGTGGTGCAAATGTACCCCCATACCATCAGAGAGGCAGGCGTTTGAACTGTAAGCTGATATCAGGCTGGTTCCTCTCTTCTTTAGCATGGCAGACTTTGTTTCCAAACAGAACTTCAGATTTGGATCTGTCTGATCCAGAACAGTTCTCCACTTTGCCTCAGTCCATTTAAAATGAGCTTCGGTCCAGAGACGTCTCTGTTTAGCTCCAGCTCTCTGACTGACCTGTTGCTAATCAACCTCATTAGTTACTAAATGTTCCTCTAGCTTGTTGGAACCACCTTGTTTTACAAACTTTACACTTTGCTGCTGCCATAAAATTCAAGAAAACCTGATTTCTGATATGTTCCAAAGAAAAGTTTGCGAGAGTTGCAAATCATTGCATTTTATTTTAATTCAAATTTTACACCATGTCCTAATGTTTTAGGGATTGGGGTTGTTTATCCTTAATTCTGAATCACACTTGTTCCCGTTCATTGTTTTTTTGTTTATTGGTTTTGTTTTTATCGCATGCAATAAGTGTGGGGGGGGGGGGGGGAAGACAGCACCTATTGATTTTATTTTCTGCAAGATGTCTCCATGAGAAAAATTATTGAAGAAAAAAAAAGATTTTGTATTTTCAGTTTTTTGTCGAGTTCAGTAGTGTGTTCTATAGATGTACAAACTGTCTGGCTGATTCTGTTCTGTATAGTTGTGATAACACACAGGGGTTTATCGTGTACTGTATATCTACTCACTGGACAATCATACGTTTAAGAGACTGTAAAAAAAATCTGAACCTTTTTGGTGCTGGGTCCTACTGAGGGATGGAAGCAGAAGAAATATTTGCCCGGAGAATCTGCCAATCACGGTAAAACGTGCACATCTGGACACGCCACTTTAAATAAAATGTACAAAACAAAAAGAAACATCCATGTAAAAAAAACTGAGACGTCTACCTTTGATTCATGTTTGAATTTAGTTTATTTTATTCCCAGAAGACATTCTTATTATTAAATATATTGAATTTAAATGATTACATGTACTTGCCCAATTGTTTAGTGTGATTTTTCCGTACTGTACCGAACGCTGGTACCAGAGGGGAAATATAAAGACTGTTTCTTTTATTTGTGATAGCAGATAATGAAACATTTATTGACATTATTTGATTAAAAACTGATTTTAAAGGCTGCAGGCCTCTAAAAGATGGGTCAGCAGAAAAATCTATCAACTTTATAGAGTTTATTCCTAACTTTTATCTGCTTGCAAATTTGGGGAAGTGTGACTAACTCATATTTTTATTCAGAGGTGTACAGTATGGAATATCACTAAACAGACTTTAAAAGATTTAACAGAGCAGAAAAATAAACATTGAAAATGAATGAAACTGTTTAAAAAATTTTAAAAAAAAAGCTCCTCGTTTAAAACTAGCTGGGACTTAACAGATTTCAATCACTTTTGTATTTTTGTATAAATCTGTAAATATCTTTTTGGATAAAACAAAAAACATTGGAAATCCCTTTTTTTTTTGTAAAATAAATCAATAAAAATTTTTTGAACAAAACTTCCTCAAGCTTGTGTGATTATTTTAAAGCCTTTACGTGCCACACTTATTTACTTTTGTTTGCACACACCATTTTGGTCTTTTTAAATATTTGATTAATTTTGGGGCGGCCCCTTAACCCCCACCATGTGCTCCCTAAAACAGGTCTCTCTTGCAAATGAGTTCTCGTGGCTCAATGAGACTAACCTGGATAAATAAAGGCTAAATGAAAAAAAATTAGTGTCGTTATGGTTAAACAAACCACGTGACAGTTCCTCCATGTTAAAATGCGTGCAGTGCGCGGTTAGCCCACCAGATGGCGGTGTTTCACTTTACTCTGGAAATTGAACTAAAACATGCAAGTAAATGCCTTCTTGGAACATTTTATCTCATAATTAATTTTTATAGCATATTTAATTTACATGACTTTTGCATTTTTATTTGATCCCATCTTATATTAAGCTGTACTCTTAAAAAGTGTATTTAAAAGCTGTGAAATTATTCATCTCAGTCTATTACTGCTCTCTGATGGACAAATTTGTAATAAAAAA